GAGCTGGAGAAAATTATGCTAAGTGAAATAAGCCAGGCAGAAAAAGACAAACATCACATGATCTAGCTTATATGTGGAATGTAAAGAACTTAATAAACTGATGAACAGAATAGATTCAATGACACAGAAGCACAGATCAGTCTGATGAATGTCAGAGGGATGGAGGAGGGCGTGTGGGTGGAGGGAGAGAGAGTAACCTAAGACTTTATATTCGTATATGCACAACCCAAGGACATGGACAATGGCATGGAGAGGGACTGGGGAGGGGGAGGGGACAGGGTGGAATGGGTCATTGGGGAGACAAAGGGACATCTGTAATATTTTAAACAAAAATAAAATTTAAAAAAAAAAAGGTACCTAAATAAGAAAAGTGTTTCACTACTTCAAACACCCTGGCAGAGGAGCAACACACTATGAACAAACAAGGTAACACAGTATCACAAAAAGAAAATGACAATTTTCCAGAAACCAAACTCAGAGCCATGGAAAACTGTGATATAAATGATCGAGCATTCAAAATAGCAATAATAAAGAAACTCAACAGGATACATGAAATTCAGAAAGGTGGTTTAATGAGCTCAGGAATAAAATTAAGGAAGAGGAGTACTTTACCAAGATACCGAAACTCTAAGAAAGAACTAAACAGAAATTTTGAAGCTGTAGAACTCAATAAATGAGATGAAGCAGATCATATAAAAGACAGAATTTGTGAGCTCAAAGATAGAAATCTGGATTGACTCATGTGGACGGGGAGAGCAAGCTGAGACGTTTTCAAAAGTGAAAGAATCCGGGAGAGCTATCTGACTCCATTGGGAAGGGCAACATAAGGATAACGAGCATCCCAGCAGGAGAAGTGAGGGAGAAGGGAACAGAGGGCCTATTCGAAGAAGTAACAAGTGAAAACTTCCCAAACCTGGGTAAGCAAATGGACACACAAGTTCGAGAAGCCAACAGAACACTTCATTATCTCAACCCAAAAACACCTTCTCCAAGATATGTTGTATTAAAACTGTCAAAAGGCAATGATAGAAAAAGGATTCTTAAAGCAGCTGGGGTTGTGGGGAGGTGGAGGGGGGAGACAGCAACTACAAAGGAAACACCATCAGGCTTTTCCCAGATTTCTTAGCAGAAACTTTACAGGAGACAGAGTAGAATGATACATTCAAAATATTGAGATACAAATCACCAACCAAGAATATTCTACCCAGCAAAATTATCCTCTCTCTGGAATCAATAAAGACATATAAAAGAAAAAAAGAAAAATGTTTCTAATGCAATCAGCTCACAGAGGGATTACTATACCAGCTTCCTGACAGCCACCACTCTAGCCTTTTACTCCTTCCCAGTTCCCCTGCAAAATAGTGCCTCTTAAGTCAACTTTCTTCATTCCTGATGTTCTCCCATCCAAGAACAACCTTCTCTTCACACTACTCTCTATGGCTAGATTTGTTTCTCTTACTTTATTTTCTCACTGTCTAGTATAATGTTAGGCACCTGGTAGGCACTTTGTAAAATATATATATGTGCTTTATTGATTTCAGAGAGAGGAAGGGAGAGGGAGAGATAGAAACATCAGTGATGAGAGATGGCTGCCTCCTGCATGCCCCTCACTGGGGATCGAGCCCGCAACCCGGGCATGTGCCCTGACCGGGAATCGAACCACGATCTCCTGGATCCTAGGTCGATGCTCAACTGCTAAGCCACTCCAGCCAGGCTGGTAGGCACTTTTTAAACAACCCAAAAGTAAACTTGAGAGCCAAAATATTCCCCTACATTTTGGGATTTGAGGGCGGAGTTGCGGCCCAGTAAGAATTCAGAGGCAATTGAGTCTAGTGTAGATGGCAGGACTGTGGAGTATCATGTGACAATAAGAAGTGCTCGACAGACGGCTACCATCCACAGCCATGAAGGTGGAGACTCTAGACTGTTTCAGAAGCAGCAGGGTATAAGCAGTGTAGGATGGCTGAGGAGAGAAAAGAGCGGTGGGCAGACTGGGCATGGGCAGAAGCAGAAGTGGGTTCCCTCAGGGCTGCTGAACTTGCAACACCCTCTCACTGAAGGAGCCTGAGGGTCTCGTTCTCAGGATGTGTTTAAGGAAAGAAAACTAATGACACTGTGAGCGGTGCCAATGTAGCCTGTCCCTGACTTGGAGCATGAACTAGGTGACACTTGGGGTCACTTCCAGGTCAAATGTTCTAAGGAAAACAAGCTTCGTTGACTTTCTTTTTGAGTAAATTAATCTCCCAGCGGGTTGAGCACAGTGCAAGAGAAGCCAACAGGATCCCGTGAGTAGATCCCCACGGTATAATTGCTATAAACGTTAGGAACTGCTGTGTACATGTTTGTGCTTAGGGTCAAGGTGTACATACAGGACTGATGTCTTCGAATCAGCCACGACTTTCCTGCAGGAAATCTGAGCAATGTGTATTAAGATGGGCATGTTTGTATATGAAAGGTTAATGTTTATTTCAAATAGCGTCATCTGTTTCCTGTAACTCTTGCTTTCCCTAAATATCTCACACACACCTTCATATTTTGGTTATAATACAAATATTATTGCACACAAAAAAGTTCCTTCCCACCCATCTCCCCACGTACATGTTTCAAGTGAAATCTATTTTTTGTATGTTACTTCTTTTCACCATCATGATTCATTTGTGCGTTTTTAGTAAAAAGGAGACAATTTTCCCCTTCAGAGCCCAGAAGGGTGTCTTCCTGCCTGCCACCCTCTCTGCAGCCTCCACAGGCCACATCCACCACTCATAGATTCTGGCCTCAAAAGTGAGATTTCCCAGCCGGGCATGGCTCAGCGGCTGAGCATCGACCTAGGGTCCAGGGGATCAGGGTTCGATCCCCAGCAGGAGGCAGCCGATCAATGACTCTCTCATCATTGATGTTTCTGTCTCTCTCTCCCTCTCCTTTCCTCTCTCTGAAATCAATAAAGATATATATATTTTTTAAAAAGTGAGAAGATTGTCTTCTGACAAATTAGCTTGAGGAAATCTCTGATTTTATAATTGTGTAATGATTATACTTCAGTTAATATTTGGGAAACCCACTACGTCAAAAATACCAAGACAGGTTTGACTTGCTAAAATTATATTAAAAGCTATCATTTTTACAGTTAACACCAAGATTATATGCCCTACTCTCCCTCCACACCCAAAACCCTAGATTTTGAAAAATATACATTTTTGGATAAATGAATTTTTTTGTTTTATCTCTACTGACCAAGAGCTAACATTAAGAAAACATATCTTTTCTGCTCATCAGTTTATTAAGTTCTTTAGATTCCACATATAAGCAAGATCATGTGTTTGTCTTTCTCTGCCTGGCTTATTTCACTCAGCATAATGTTCTCCGGGTCCATCTATGCTGTCCCAAAGGGCACGAGATCCTTCTTCTTTACAGCTGCTTACTAGATTCAGTGACATGGAAGCACAGATCAGACTGGCGAATGTCAGAGGGATGGAGGAGGGCGGGTGGGTGGAGGGGGAGAGAGTAACCAAAGGATTTATATGCACATATGCACAACCCAAGGACTATGGTGGGGAGGGAGACTGGGGAAGGGATGGGGCGGGGTGGAACGGGTCATTGGGGAGAAAAAGGGACATCTGTAATATTTTAAACAAAAATTAAAAATAAAAATTAAAAAAATTAAAAAAACAAATCTAGTTTTGAGATTCTACCTTAGTTACTGTACAGGGGCTTTGTCACATATAAAGCCTTAAGACACATGAAGTCCTATGTTACAGGTTGGAAAACTGAGGTTCAGAATAGCCAAGTGCTTTGCTCCAGTTCAGAACTGTGATGGTGCCTGAATTTATACTCAGGCCTCTTCCCACCCATTGGCACCAGTTGGAGAAATTATTCCAAAGACGACAACAAAAAAAATAAAAGCTGTTCTGAGAAAAAGATGTCTGGCAAAAAGGGGAATAAAAGCCCTCACGACAAAAACAGGACTTTTAAATGGCTGCGAGTATTGATTTTTCTGTTTGTTAAAAAATACATTCGCTGGTAAAATAACCAAAATACTACAGTGCAGAGCTCTCTGAATTGTCCCAGCGAGAAACTCTGAGAGGTGAGCTTCCTGAAGAGCTGCTTCTCACATTTTCATGTTCTTAGGCTTTTAATTTTTATTGAAAAATCTCTCAGGAATGCGTTAAATCTCTCTGCTTTTATTTAGACCATTAACCATCCTGTAAGCTGGGGGCTGGCCGAGGTCAGTGAAGGTCGGGACGGAGGGGCCCTGGGCAGAGGGGCAGAGCTCGCAGCCTCGGGCCGCACAGCCGCGTTGGCCGCTTCTAGCTTGCCCGCAGCGTGGGGACTGCTCTGCTCCCTGCCCTGGGGCCCACGGCCTCTCCTGGTTGCATCTCCTCCTACCCATTCTGTCTGCAGACTGCGGTGACTGGAGATAACCAAGTTTCTTCACGGGGTTGCTACTCCGAGGGCCACCGCTTTCCGGGGACTGCAGTGCGCTAGGCCGTTTGTCACCGTTTCATCCTTTTGGCCCTTACGCGAGGCTGTGAATTAGACGTTTCCCACTCTGCCGGCCAGGAAGCCGGGCTGGAGCAGCGTCGGTTCTGACTCCCAGCGGAGCGTGGGCCCCGCGCCGCCTGCTCGCTGGACCCGCCCGGGTGGGTGGAGGCCCCGAGCGCAGCTGGTGCTCTGGGCGCCCGTTCCTCACACCAAGGTTGCCAGCTGTGCTTACCCCTGGGCCCAAGGAGGAAATTAGAAACCTTTGTAAAATGTCGAGGTCTATGCAAATGTCCTTATTTGCTGGACAGGCAGAGGGTTAATAATAATAATAACACATACGTTATAATCCAGTTAGAAGCAAGCAAACGGAGCACGGCTGAGGCCAAACACGGGAGGCAGGGCTCACGGCTCGGCGGCCGGCCTGACCTCCCCGGCAGGTGTCCTCTCCCCACAGCAGCCCCGGGCCCTGCGGGTCAGGCCAGGAGAGGGCGGGCAAAGAAGGCTTCATGAGAACACCCAGGCCAGCTTTTGATAATTTTATTAGAAAACAAGTGCAGTCCACTGATCAGGATACATGCTGTACATGAATTGGTGTTTTTATTATATAAAAATATTTGGTATCTGCTGCAGAATTATACACACAAGTTTGTAAAAAGCTCTTCATCATTAACCATTACATATATAACTTATCAAAAAAGTCCTTTAAAAAATTGGCTCAATACCTTTCCTTTGATTGGAAATGAGAGTCAGAAGAATGAGAAACAGTTTGTGCTGAGCCAGCACCAATGGCCTGCAAGGGGCCCTCAGCGCACCGGTGGCCTGCAAGGGGCCCTCAGCGCCTGCACACTTCCCTCAAATGCTCACGAGGACAAAAACGCCATCGAAAATGCAGTTAAACCTAATTAATGGGGAAGTCCTGAAAGGAAGGGCTTAGAAGAGGCTTTTAGGGAAAACAATAAGACAAAGGAAGTTGCCAGGGAACTAGGAGTGTCGCTCCTTCCTCTGGAATCCTCCCCGAGAGTGAGAGCAGCAGTGACACCCCACTTTCCTACCGGAGCCCCCCTCAGCCCAGGCATGTCCCGTGATTCTTGTCCCTAAATCCTGGTGGTTCTCCCACCTCCTCAGTTTCTGGCCAATTCTGCCGCTAACGCTCAGTCTCAGAATTGGCTTTCTTAGAGCTTCACATGCAAATAAATATATTTCACGGGTGACCGACTAAGACTGCCCAGCGCGATGTAAAGCATCCGACCAGGCTTTGGGGAGATGACAGGGCCTCCTCCCCCCAGACTCCTGGCTAGTCTCCTGGGCTGCGGATAAAAACGAGGCACTTTCTTTAAAAACAGCGGCTCCAAAACAGCGCCACTGCCCACGGCTGTCAGACTGGACCCAAGAGGAAACGGGTGGGAAGAGGTGGTCTTAAACTCTGTTCTCTCTACTTCTGACAACTTTTGAGGACAAAAGTACCAAATAAAAGTCTGTGTTCACCTATAATATTAAATATTAAAAATACAAAACCCAGGCCTGTCTGTGTTCACAAGACTTCAGGCAACACAAACAAGGCTTTGAGGTTTCCATGTGTTTTTCTCTAATTATCCTGAGGACTACTATCAAGTTTATAAAAATATTTTTCTGTATCAGAAAAACCCAACTTGCTCTCATTTTTAATTTACCAAGAGGCATTTACCTTTTGGGGAAGAATATATGAAGGCAGAAATCTGTTCATAAAATCTAACATAATTTTTGTAAATGCCTACTTTAAAAGTTTGGAATTTGGTTCCTTAATTAGACACATGCCTAAAATCAGCCACCATCCTAGAAAACTGTCATTTCTCCCCACAAAAGGCAGGGTAGGCGCGGAAGGGACACACGTGGACCTGAGATAAAATCTTCAGAGCACTGTCTGGGAAGCCAGCAGGGAGGTGCCAGCCCAGCACTGAGTCATCGCCTCACAGCAGGTCGCTGGCTCTCTACCGAATCAAGGTGGCTGCAAACACGAAAGAAGGCAATCTGTGGACATTTGTAAATGAACAACTACACAGACCTACGTCTCACGTGCAGATCACTGGTGGAGGCACTGCGGACGAGAGCCCTGCAGCCTGCGCCCAGTGCCAGCCAGCTGCGGTGCCACCAGCCTTCTGGGACAACAGAGTTGGAGTAAGTGGTGAGTTCCGGTCAGCGTGGGAAAAGCCCAGAAGGCGTTCTGGCCACAGGCGGCAGGCTGGAGGCAGGGACGGAGGGGCCCTGGGCAGGTTCGAAGGCACAGGGGCCGACCTAGGAATTCACGTAGCAGGACAGGCTGCGGCTGGCTGGACAGACTGGGGGTCGGGAGCACCACTGACATGCTAACGGAGGACCTGGGCTTTGGCTCCTGACCCCGGAGAGCCCAGGGAGGGAGGCGCTGCAGCAAGAGCGGGCGAGAGGAGGGCAGTGCTTTACGAAGGACGGTTAATCTCTGGGCCATGCGTGACCCCATGGAGGGAGGAAGTGTCTTGGAAGTTGTCCTTCCAAAGAAGTAATGAGCCCAGTGAAACGCAGAAGAAGGTAGGGGGACAGAATGGCGACTCGGGGGGGACATGTTGAGAGGAGATCGATTCTCTGATACCCTTGCTTTTGAAATTCTCTCTCCAGCAGAAAGCGAAGGTTATTTCAAATCCTTAGGATCCTGGAGAATCCCTTTGCTCATTGAAATGATAGTTTTAAAGGCCTACAGAAGGAAACTCAGTCTTTGGAAACTGCTGCTGGTTGTGGATGAAAAATGCAGGGCAGGTGGTGGCTCTCCGGTGCTTCTGCTTTTCCTGAGCAGCACCAGCCTTCGGACGTCGCTGGCCACTCGAGGGTCCCGAAGTCCCCAGTCTGGGCCCCAGCCTCAGCCTTGGACAGTAAATGACTCCGTACAACTGTCTCTGGATTATTTATATTTTCTGAATGTTCTTTCTTTTCATTTGCTCTCCCAGTGCCTTTCCTGAACAGTTCAAACATTCAGAGGGCATCTGCTGCTTTTTTAAAGGACCCCCAACGCCTCGCTTTGAATTGCCCAGGCCTGCTATTGTCACCACGTCCTGTTCCCTTACCAGCCTGATTCCAGGTGACCTTGGGGATAAGGGACTGTGCAGGTGCACTCTGTGGCTGTGCCAGTCTCGGAGGCCCAGCCCAGCCCGCAGCACCGTAGGACAGGAGTCACCCGAGGGCGTCCTGGCGAGCTGCTCCCGCTACCCGAGGGGCACGGGGATCTCCCTCTGCAGCTTCTCCTTGGAATCCGGCCTGGCGGCCGGGAACAGCGGGTGGGGCTTGGACGAAGCAGGCTGCTGCTGGGCAGGCATGTGGTAGCGGACCTTCTTCCAGAACCTCGTCGACGCAGACTGGGACCTCTCCTCCGTGAAGTCCCCGGACCAGCGGATGGCCCCGTGCTTCCGCTTGATGAACTTGATGGATTCTGGCATCTTCTCCTCATCGGGGATCCTCTCCAGCTCCAGCAGGACGACTTTCATCCCACCCTGAATGAGAGCGTTGTGCATCACCAGCTGCTCTTCAGAAGAACTGCTAAGCCAGCCAAAGCCTGACGCCTCTCGCACCAAAATGATAATCAGTCTTCTGCTTTGCTTTATGTTTTCATTAGTGACCTCAACAACATCTGAGAAACACAAAGTAAAGTGCCTGTTTATAATCATTCTCTCCAGAACCAGAGCCCAGAAGCTCCCTCCCCCACCCCGGCCCCCAACACTCCTTTTTCTTGCCTTGCTCAAGATTAAAGGAGGTTCCCACTTCAGAGACCAGCTCAAAAAGCTGACCCACAAAAGCTGAACATGTCACTTAGGACTCAGCACACTTCCAGTAGAAATGTTAAAATCTGCTGTTAGACCTCTCCTATTTTATTGTATTGGTTGTAAAGCAATTTTCAGACCTAACTAGTCATTAAGTTTTCCAAAATGAAATACAACTTAGTTAATTGTTGTTCTTCAACAAAATATGAGAAAAATATATACTTTGCATTAAATAATGCGAAAATCATCATTAAGCACCACTGAAGAAGGTCTTAAAATTGTCAAATATGTGAGCCTATGCCATTCTTCTAGAAAGATGAAACCCAACTTAACCCAATCAAAGTAATAATTAAATTAGTCTCAAATAAGATTTGCACTTTCCCTGTATGTCCATACCTTCCCCAGGGTAGTCATCCCTTCCATAAATGAACAGCTTATATCCACACTGCTTTTCTAAGACCTCGGGCAAGACTTTAAACACGAAAATAGCTGAGTTAGAGGTGGACCCTTCCCCAAGGGTCTTTGGATATAGTATGTATGCATCATAGGTCTTTCCATCTGAGGCTAAAGGGAAAATGTGATATTTTAGAACCACAAGGAAAAATAAGAGGTTTGCTAAAGTCAATATTGCAAACATGCATTTCTGAATGAATTGTTAATTCTTTTCACACGATGGCATGAATGAAGCTGCGATACCAACCACAGCACGCCTTTGTAAAGTGCTCTACTCTTACAAGTCGCCATTCACCCTGTTTTACTGCCAAGTTGCTCTTACAGTATTTGACGGATGACTCAAGTGTAGAGCTCTTTGCCTCTCTGTGTGGGAGCTACCTCCCAACTCTTACCTTCCTCCCTGAACACCACAGGGCTGCACTCTACCGTTCTCCCTTTAGATACTACGGCAGGACTCAGTTTTCCCAGGGTTTAAACAAAAGAGACAGTGCTTCCCTGATGCATGAATCGAGTACTTTCTTTGATTTGATGGCAAATTTTGGGCGACCTGCATTCTGGCCAGCACCAGACAGGTCCTCACCAGAGGCTTCAAATAACTGGACTTATAAACAAACGCTCTAAATGCTGTTTATCCCACCGTTACGAACACTAAAGCAGTAACTTGGAAAACAATGCTTTTCAGTCTGTTTAGTTACAAAACTATAATTATATATAAGAATAACTACTATTAGTATATATGTCACATTTCATTCTAAAATTTAAGTAAAAACCCTCTTACTTATCTTCTATATCTCTTAACTATCCCCTCTTCGACAAGAAAGTACTACATAGAATACAAAACTGTACCTTTTTTCGGGAGAAAATCATAGCAAGAATCCCTGTACCAAAGTACTATGTCAACCTTGAAGACTTTATAGATGAGAACAGAGCCCGTAATGACTACTGTTAACATGACAAATATACCAATCATGTGCTTCTGGAAATTGGGGACTGTAGCAGAAAAGAGAGGGAAAATTTATTAGAACCAAAAGAATTAAAAATTTGTGCATAACAAATTAAATATCATCATCCCAGAGAAACCATATTTAGGACTGGCCTGCAGTCCCAAACCTCAGAGAGTATTAACCCTTCATTATCAATAATGGATAGTAATGTACAAAGCCATCTAGAATGGATACTATGTAAAAAAAAAAAACTACAGTGCACTGTACTAAGTTTCCACCAAAGTAGTATAATATACAATCTCTCAGAAAAATAACAAAGACCATAGGATAGAGCACTCCATAGTATAATCAGTCAAAGTCACTCAAAAGCCAGCAGAAGTTCCTAGAGGTGGAAGAGTAGGGTGGGAAAAGGTGAAGGCTAGGGAAAGAAAAAAGGGGCTATGGATGCCACACAGAATGTTTCACACTTCCACGTTCTCCAGGCTTCACTGGCTAATCATTCATCCAATGGCCGATTACAGAGGGAGCAGGGGAGGAAGGTGAAGGGGAGGTAAGGAGAAGGGGTAGAAAAGAAGATGGGAGAAAAAGGGGACTTGAAAATGTCAGGGGACACGTAGGCATCAAGAAAAGAGAATCTAAGGGCTCTCTTATTTTATTTTTGCAATTTAGGTCTTTGATCCATCTGCAATTGATTTGGGTATGATGTAGAAATCAAGATATATCATTTTCCAGACCAATAGCCAATTGGCTCAATGGACTGTTTATGCTTACAGTCTTCACAACTGTAGCTCCATAAAGATCATAGTATCTATAGTATAAATCTTCCAGACTTGTCATTTTTATTCAAGGCCATCTTGACTATTCTTGGCTCTTTATATTTCCATATGACTTTTACAATAAGCCTGCCCCCAACAACACCCCCCCCACACACACACACATACACCCATACTTGCACAAACAGTGCTGAGATTCTGAGTGGAATGGTTTTGAATCTATAGGTTCACTTGGGGACAACTAACATCTTTATGATATTGATTCTTTCAATCCATGAACATTGTATATCCATCTATTGAGGTCTTCTCCAGTTTACCTCAATAATGTCTGTTTGTTTTAGTTTGTATTACAGAGGTCTTGAACAGCTCTTGCTAGATTATTTCTATGTCTTTGATAATTTTTGATGCTACTGTAAATGTTATCTTTTAATTTCTACTGCTTTGTTGTTGGTATTTATAGACATACATAGAAATACTACATATATATGTGTAATATAGACTAGTTATCTTGCTAAATTCATTTATTAATTCTAATAGTTCGTCCGTTTAGATTCTTTCATGTACACATTCATAAATACCCTATTTTAATTTAATTACAGATAATCTTAAAGTATTTCACAAATACTCCCAATACTGCGTCTTAAGATTATACAACTTATGAAAATCAATAACTTCTGGTCTTCTCTCGGGAAAGTGGATATTTAGACTTCCCCTGAGAATCCATCATTCACCTAAAAATATTCATTAGGTACGTACCATGACCAGACTTAAATAGCTACTAGTTCTGGAAGTAGAATAATTAGTAAGATGAATGGTCTGCAGCACCACAAAATTTACAGTCAAGTAAAGACAACTAAGTATGATAAATATACTGTAGCAGGGATATACAGTGCTATGGAAGCACATAACAGAGGCCTTGACCTCATCTGCTTTGGCAGAGAGCAGGACAGAAAAGCTCCCTGGCAGAGGAAATAGTTCAGCCAAGAAGTGAAAAAGGAAGGATGTTATCCAGGCTGACAGGAATCCAAGAGCATTCTGGGCAGGGGAAACAGCATTGCAAACCTCAAGGTCACAGAATCTTACCACGGTAAAACAAAATTACATTTCCAATAAACAGTTTTGTTGTGTACCTGGGTGTATTAATTGGATATATGCTGCACTTATACCATATGTATTCTTGGCTACACAGGTAAATGGATATAGATAAAATTTACTTTTCACTTCTGAAATATTAAGCATCATGATGATTGTATTCCTTTTTTTGGAGGAAGGATTTTCCACTCTGTTCAAAAGAGAGAGAAAGAGCAAATAAAGTTGTTTTAAGTGAACTGTATTAACAGCAAATAAGATACATCTGCATGGTTTATCTCTTTCTTTGTTGCGTAAACTGCAGCAGAGATACTCACCAACCCTAAGTACAGGCACAATAACCAGACTGCTGGCAACACTGATCTGAGATGTTATAGAACTAAGTCCACTATCAGTAAAAGACTCAGTAGTAGAGAAATGGAATAACAGTGACCAGCTTCCAAGAAGAAAAACATGACATATGCATTCTGGTCTCCATGGGGCACAGAGGAGATGTGGAACAAGAGTAGAGTAGGCAGGTGACAACGGGTTTGAAGGTAATGCATGAAATCAGGAGTTTATCCCTAGAGAGGTTTCAGGAAGCCACCGGGGACGTCAGCAGTGGAGGGCATGATTCTTGACCCCATTTTATGTGTCCTTTGTAGACTACTTAAAAAATGGAATAACATGAAGATTGCTTCATTGGAATGTTGCAACATAGACAACTGATTTAACAGAAAGCCTTCCAAGTGGTCCTGAATTTGCACCACAATGACATGTATTTGTATCTTAAATGTACAAGATGTTATAAATCCTGTTTAGCTTAGCAAAACTCAATATGGGCAGCAAAGGGTTAAGAACCTATCACCTGCCAAGTACCTTCTGCTATTAGGTTAAACCATCAAGGCTGTATAAAGTATAACATGCAATTTAACACCAAAACTTCTCTACTGCATAGCCACTCTCAGCACTTACAGTCTATAGTCTTCCACCAGCACGGGGTCATCATCAATCATGGACTTGTTCCACTTCCAGTAGACATAGTCGGTGAGCTGGCCAGTGACATTGCATATCAACTGCAGCTGGGATCCTGCAAAACAATATATTTTTAATCATAACACTAATTTTTCTGTGATCTATTTATATTAACAAATGGCTATTAAATAAAAATTTTAAATTATAGGAAGCACAAAGAAAAAGAAAAATCACCCTTAAACCTACCACCCAGAGATAACCACGATCAATAACATTCCTTACCTTCTCTGTGTACTTATACAATTTAAAACGAGGCGTTATTATTTACTGTCTGTAATTATTACTGTGTTGGGAATGCTGGCTCACGCGGTTAGCCTTTCAAAACAGGCTCTTTCACGGCCGGGCAGTCTTCCACAATACAGGTACAATATGACTAATTATCTGCTAAACACGACTTGTTCCTGATTTTTCATTACTATGGTCACTATTTCAATGAACATTCCTGTACATCAACACTGTACATTCCCTGAAGTACTACTTTGAATAAAAATCCCGAAGTAGAATTCAGTTAAAGGAGATACAGCTGAAAAGCCAAGCCCTCTCCCAAACGGGACTGCGGCCCCGCACCGCCCGCAGGGCACAGTGCCTGCCCGCCCCGCACCCCGCGCCAGTCAGCGCCAGCTCAGAGAGGGAGAAAATCCTGCTTACAATTTCACCTGCATTTCTTCAATTAATGGCAAATTAACATATTTTTATAAGCTTAGTGTTCATCTGCCTTTAAGGGCGGCTTTTCATCCCTACTGTCCGTTATTAAGGCGTTGTCGTATTAACTCACTGACGTGCAGGAGTTCTTTATATCACACATGAAAACCAGTCCAAAAACCCTTCAGTGTTACTTGCTTTTATTTCATTTTTGTTTATGGAAATTCTTTGGTCCAGATGTTTTTTATTTTTTGTTTGGTCATATTTTTTTCTAAAATCCCCCACTATCACCACATCAGGAAAATATCCATGTACATTTTATTGCGGGCATATGACACTTTCATTGTTTTATTGGTTAAAGGGCCCAAGAATCTCTTAGCTGCTGCGGCAGTTTGTGGCCCCTCAAAGTGCCGCAGTCGACAGATACACAGGGTGCCTGTGGTATCACGTTCTGAGAAAGGGTCGAGGGCCGGGGGCAAAATCCCTTTCTAGGCTCTAAAGGGGAAACAAAGGCTGGGAAATACTGCTGTTGATTCTGTTGGCCCGCACGCAGTTCTGAGCTTCCCATCACTGTCAGTTTATACCTAAGAACGTCTTCACCCACCGCCCACCATGAATAACAAAGTAACAGAGGCCACAGGTCACAAGGTCTTGTCTCCTAATCCCTGCCCACCGCTCGCTGTCCCCACGCGGCTGCTATTACAGAAAAGAACTCTGTGTGCCCACTTGATTCTCGGTCCTCTGGCACAAAAATCTGTTTTATGTGTAGACCAGTGGTTTCTAACGGGACCGTCAGTGATGGTGAAAACGGCCTGTATCTGTGTCAATACTGCAGTCACTGGTCACCCCTGGCTAACGCCCTTGACTGAGAAACTAGTTTTCAATTGAACTAAACTAATTTACTAATTTAAACGCACATGTACATAACTACCTGTGGCTGGAGGCTACTGCACTGTCCAGTGTTGCTTATAAGGTTTCTTTATTCTTGAAATAAAAAATTATTAACTAACTTGAAAAAGTATTTTTCTAAGTGACCATCCTTTTTACCTACAGTCTCACTCTTCTGCCTAAAAGCTTAAATGCCGCCATCAGAAATTCACCGTGCACCAAAAAAGTTACATTTCTCATTCCTAGGTCTATTGAAATTGGCCTTTGGCTGGTGTTTTCGTGGGTGATAAGTTTCCACAGGAAAGCAAGGATGGCCAAATCAGACATGGTTAGATTTGCACCATCAGAGGCAAGAAATCCAAACAAACATTTAAGACACAATCTTTACCACTTTCTCTCTAATTACAGATATATTCCGTAAACAGCTCAGGTCGTGTGTTGTAAAGGTAAAATTTATCTGAGTCTTGAATTCAGAGTAATTATTTCAGCATATCCTGATTGGGGGGTACTTACCCACCACCACTTCCATCGTCTCATTCACAGGACTCACGATCACGGGCCTCGTGGGCCTATTCTCCTCTGAAAGAAAAGCACCCACAGGCTCTCAGACTCGTACAGATCAGAACCCCAAGTGATAACAACATTTACCTCAATATACCAAAATATACTACACAGCATGTAGCCAGATATTCCCTCAATGCCTGAAGCACTTATGGCAGGAGACAGAGGCAACAAGCGAGGGAAGGAAGCCGACACGAAGGCCAGCACGGCAGCGAATCCCGCTCCAGAGCCTGCACCCTCTGAGCCCATGGAGCTCGGTGCCACACAAAACCACACGTGACACAAGGCCTGGGCTCCGGACCGTGACTCTCCTAAGTCAGATCAGGGAAAGCAGCAGAAAGGTGCTTCCCTGGCGAAGCATCATTCCCCGGAGACCTTCAGTGCCGGACCTGCTTATACTCAGAACCTTCAATAGTGACTCAAGAGTAGAATTTCAAGCAATTTGGCATAATTTATTAAAACAGGCACAAAGTATTAAGGATCTCCAGAAATTTGTCTGACTTTTATTTACAAAAAGATTGGCTTCAAGGGGTACCTGTGGCCAACCATGAGAAATGATAAACTTGAATGTCAAGAAGTCAAAAAAAAAAATAAAAAAGCAAGTTCCATCCATGCAAGATACTGTCTCTTTTGTTTGCTAATCCAGCATATGCCTGGAACAGTTCCTGGCACATAGTAGATGCTCAGTAAATAGTTCTGAACCTGCCTTTAGAAGGAAATAAAAAATGACCTCACCCTTGATTAAGTACATTATGTCTACACAAGGGAATAGAAACGGAGATGAAGATACGTCTGCTGGTCTGGTTGCTATGCCTGTTGTCCCAGCATAATTATTAATAGAGACCCCTTTAACTTTAAAACTTCTGGTTAGCCTAACTCTTTGCATATTACTGAAAGCTTACAAAATCTGATATTTACAGAAAGGCTGAGCATTCTTCCCATCCCCAAGTAATTTGTAAGAACGCATTTTGTTGTAAAATAGTGTTTAATATGAAACAAGGCTAACAGAGAATTGACAGCCTCAGGAAATTAACAAGAATAATCATCATATGCTATTTACAGAGCTCTCTGGAAGAGCCATGTTTAGCCATCGCAAGGAAGGAGCCTCCTGGTTCAGGGGAAACGCGCCAGCTCGCGTTGTCTGTAATGAGCACGGCATCTGGAGCAGGAGAGAGAGCCATTTACATAGCATTTAGCGACAAAAGCCACCCAGCTGCTCAGGGCTTTATCCCTCCGTAGACACTGAGGGCGACATTAGAATCCTGGCCTCTGGGCCCTCCCGGCCCTGAAGTCCCGGACTGAAGCTGCGACTCACCTAGAGTTAAAAGCCCTACAGCCCGGGTGATGCGATACTGCTCTCCCAGGAGTGTGTAGGACGCGTGGCAAGTATAGTTCCCTTTATGTGCTTCAGTCACGTTCACGATGATGAGCTTGTTTGATTCTCCAATAAAGTTTATGTTGTCAAGAAGTAGAGGTTTGCAATCCTAGACAAGAGCGACAGGAAGGAAGTATTGAAAACCAATTAATAATTTTCTCCAGGCTGCCAGGAAAAAAATTCCATTTATTTTTCATATCAGCGAATATTTTATACATATATAATATGTATATTATATCTTTAAAATATATTAATATATACATATGTATAAATATAAACATATATGAAAAGAAAGGTTCCTTGCATACAAGTTTTAATATTGTAACTTTTATGGCAAAAGTCATAATCATACTCCTAAGATATTAAATTCTTAAGCCTATGAGCTTTGTACTTTGAAGGCAAATTTATTTGGTGATTTAAAAACACACACATTTGAGGTAAGAATGCTCACACTCTCGTTTGTAATGCTGTACTTCCTTTCACAGATATTGATTCTGTGTTTCTAACCCTCCACAGCATGACTCCCCAAGGAAGCTCCAACGAACCAGGTAGATCAAAGGCACCCAAACCTGATGCGTCCCATGGAGTGCTGGACAGTTATAGAAACGACCGCCCGGGCCGGTGCGGCTCAGCTGGTTCGAGCGTCACCCTGTGCACCAAAAGGTGACAGGTTTGATTCGCAGTCAGAGCAGAGAGCCAGGTTGCAGGCTCAATTCCCCATTGGGGTGCGTACCAGAGGCAACCAAGCGATGCTTCTCTCTCATATCAACGTTTTTCTCTCTCTTTCCCTCTCCTTTTCTCTCTCTAAAATCAATAAAAACATATCCTTAGGTGAGGATTTTAAAAAAAGAAACTGTTAAGCTATTTAAGGACCACTTGATATTTTTAATAAAACACACAAGAATATATTTGGTGCCCTGGCCTGTGTGGTTCAGTGGTTAGAGCATCTGCGCACACACCGAAGGGTTGTGGGTTCGATTCCCAGTCAAGGGCAAATACCTAGGTTGCAGCCCCAGTTGGGGCAAATGGAGGAGGCAACTGATCAAAGTGTCTCTCTCACATCGATGTTTCTCTCTCCCCCGCTTCCACTCTCTCTCTTAAAAAAAAAAAATGGAAAAAATATCCTCATGTGAGAACTAACAAAACCAAAAAAAATACATTTTGTAATAAATAGTTATCTCTAAAAAATCCTAAATTTATACTCAGTCTTATCTTTAAACTTTTTTTATTCATACTATACTCTTCTCCAACTGTATCTTCTTAAGTAAGCTTTTGGTTAAGCTGTAAATTAAATATATGTAGTCTTACAACTTTAAAAAAAATTTCCTATTAAGTTTAACCACTCAAAACCAAACAATAGGCCAAATGAAAAAGTACTTTGCAGATTCAACATATTATCTATGACAGAAAGCTATTTTACAACGCTGGAAAGCAAAATACCATATTTAATATATTACCTTATACCACTGTACTTTGGGTAACTTATTGTTTTCATCTTTAAAATAATCCAAATAAGGACACACAAGTTGTCCATCTCCTGCAATAGGTAGTTTCTGGGTAAATATAGCTTGTGCACTGTAACACAAGTTAGGTTCATGTTGTACAAACTTTGCAGTTATTTTAATCTTGAGGCAGTAAGTTGAATTTCTAAAATAAATCAAAATAGGTGAATTAAGCACTATTAAAGGATTTTTCTGTCTTTAACTATTGTAGGTACACAGAACATGTTTGTTAACACGTTAATTCCTTCCTTACCGTACTGCACAATAGTAATGTCCTGAATCCTCGACCTTAGCTGGAACAAACCAAAGTTTATCTTTGTGCTGATGAATCCTGGAGTCTCTTTCTGTAGATATGGATGTCTTGCTGTCATTTTTATACCAATTTATAGTGCCTTTGTTTTCATTTGGGTTAAGAGGACATGAACGAACATCAATTTCATATGCAGAAGAAACTAAAATTATTCGTTCTTCACGTTCCTCACATTTACCTTTAAAAGGGAAGAAGGAAAAGCAAATTCTGTGAGAAATCCGTCAATGTTTCTTAATGTAATATCTACATAATAACATATCAACTATTCAAAACATCAATTCATATTAAATACAAGAGTTTTAACAGCCTTACGATTAACAGCATTATTTGGGAAGTCTGAAAGATTTACATTCAAATTCAGCTGTGTTACTTACTACCTGAGACCCCTGAGCAAGTTATTTAACCTCTCATCCCTTCTGAATTCATCTAAAATCTGGTGGAGATGTAGCAGGTGAGAGATCTGCTTTAGTATAAGATGGAGTATCAGGGACTGGATATACCCTCCCACCTGAACAGCTAAAAAATAGACAAAGTACATGAAACAATAATGTTCAAGACTTTGAACATCAGGGAACAAAAAATAAAAATATCAGAAAGGTAGGAATCAAAGGAGGTGAACCCTATGATTTTCCCAAATTACTGTGTAGAGAGATTCGAGGCCATGACATTTCAAGGAGGAAACATAGGCAAAGTCCAGTGTTCTCTGAGTTGATGAAATGGAGCTGGGAATCCAGGTAAACCAAAAGTTTGCAGGGCAGAGTACCAGAGAGATTAGCACTGCACATGAGGGAGAGGGAAAGGGAGAGGAGAAGGGGGGGAGGAGGGGAGGAAGAGGGGGGAGGAAGAGGGAGCAAGCACTTTGTTGACCTACAGAGAGTCTCTCTCAAGTTTTCAGCTGAGTATTTATTAATGTAAGTATATAAGAAAAACTACCCAAGGCCAGAGTGAGAATTGCCAAAAGGATTAGAGTAAATAATACCTGGAAATATGCACATAATTCTGGAAATAGTTGCTGTTAACAGCTGGAATGGAAAAACCTCATTGATCATGGGGAACTGGGTAGAATGCCCAGAAGGGTTTTGACTCAATAGATGGGGCAAATAAGCCTACAATAAATCTTCTTCTGATCATGACTAATAAAGTTTAAAAGCAAGATCTGAAATGATGAACTATTTTCAAGTGATAAACCTGTGACAGAACTCAAGAACATTTTTAGTAATACAAAAATATCCAGCACCCAACATGGTAAAAATAACAATGTCTAACATCTAAACAAAAATTACTAGGCATGCAAAGAACCATGATAATATAACCAATAATGAGGAGAAAATAATTAATACAGAAATAACAGAGAGAGAATTATTAGATAAAAAAAGTAAAAGTTAAAAGTTATTATTATTGTGTCCTACTTGTTCAAGATACTAGATCAAACATGTTGAGAAGAGACATGAGAGCTTTTTTAAAAACAAATTTCTAGAGATGGAAACTGCAATGTTGACTTAAGAAAAACAATGGATGTGATTAATGGCAGCTTTGACATTGCAGAAGAAACGATTAGTGAATTTTAAGACATAACACTAGAAACTATTTACAATTAAACACAGAGAAAAAAATAAAAGAACAAAAGTAACAGGCATTGGTTAACTGCAGGACAACTTCAATATATGTTATAGGAATCCTTGGAGAAGAGGAAAGGTCAAAGAAGAGGAAGAAGAGTGAAACAGAAAAAGTATTTGAAGGCATATAGATTGAAGTTCTTCAAGATTTAATGAAAAAGAGGAATTCACAGACCCCAAAATCACAATGAACCCCAAGCAAAAGAAACATGACGAAAACTCCATCAAACACAGAAAAAAAGGATGTAGACTTCTTGCTGGAAACAATGCAAGCCGGAAGAAAGTGGAAGAAAGGTAAATACTGAAAGAAAAAAATCAACCTAGAATTCTATGTTCAGTGAAAGTATCTTTCAAAAATAAAGGCAAAATAAAACTTTTTTTCATATTTATATAAGCTATAAAAATTCATCATCAGTAGACCTACACTGTCAGAAAAATATAAGAAGTCCTTCAGAAATAAGGAAAATAATATCGGATGAAAAATGAACCTACACAAAGGAATAAATATACCAGAAATGTTTATTACATGGGTAATTATAAAATAATGTTTCTTATTATGTAGATCTCTTAAAACAACTGCATGCTTAAAGTAAAAATAGTGTATTGTGAGATTTATAACATATAAAGTAGTAAAATGTATGGGAACAACAGGGCTAAGTTCTAGAATGTTTTAAGTTTTTTATACTACATATGAAATAGTAGATAAACAGTGATAAATAAAATATGGGTATGAGAAGCTGCAGAGCACTTATTTTTTTTAATTGATTCAGAGAGAGGAAGGGAGAGAGAAAGAGAGAGAGAGGCATCGATGTGAAACATTGACTGGTTGCTTCCCACGCCCCAACCAGGGATCAGAACCTGCAACCTGGGCATGCTCCCTGACCAGGAATCAATCCACCACCTTCTCGTGCACGGGGCAATGCTCAGACCAACTGAGCCTCAGGGGCCAGGGCCCCAAGAGCACATATGTAAAACAAAAACAAAAACAAAAACAAAAACAAAAACACCTACTAGGTGTGAGCCAACACAGGAGATAAAATGAACCATGAAACTCCTCAATCAATCCAAAAGGCACCAAAAAAAAGGAAAAAATAACAAAGAATTGATGGGACAAATAGAAACTAAAATAGTAAGATCCTGAAATTAAATCCAAACCTACTAATAATCATACTTAAAACTTGTAATGGTCTAAAAACCCCAACCGAAAGGCAGAGAGAGTCAGATTAGATCAAGTCAGAAGGCTGTAACTGTGTGCTACCTCACACACACACACACGCACACACGCACATGCGCGCACACGCTTTAAATATAAAGATACAAATACGTCAAAAGTAAAAAAAAAAGAGGGGGGACTATACCATGTTAACCATGTTACCAGGGTTAATCAAAAGAAAGTTTAAATGGTTATTATATTGTTAACAACCAAAGTAGATTTTATTATGATAAGGAAGTCATTCACCAAGAAGGACACAGCAATCCTAGACCGTAGGAGAGCTAGAAAACCCACAGGGATAGTCAGAGGTTCCCATACCCTACTCACAGTAACCGACAGAACAAGTAGCACAATTAGATAAATATCAGTAATGATACAGGAGATCAGAACAACAAATTTGGCATAATTGATATTTATAGAAAATTCTACCCAACAATTGCAGAATATACATTTTTTAAATAAACACAACAAACTTACCAAGATATACAACATTCTTGCTTATAACCCAGTAATTGATACATTTAAAAGGATTCAAATTAGACAAAGTATGTTCTCTGGTGGCAATGGGATTCAATTGGAAATCAATAACAGAAAGCTATCCAGGAATTCCCAATATGTTTGAGAAAATGTTTCAAATGAATATAAAATACACTGTTAGCTGGGAAGCCATACTGTTCTAATTTATCAGCTCTATAAAGTATGTTCAGATTTGAACGTAACTTCCACAGTGTGCAGAAGGCAATCATAAAACATATTATTCATAAAAAATAAACTAAAACTAAAACACACACTTCTAAATAACCCATGAGTCAAAGAAGAAATAAAAAGAGAGATTAAAAAGAATTTTTTAAAATTTCTTATTAATCCTCACATGAGGATATTTTTCCATTGCTTTTCAGAGAAAGTGGAAGAGAGAGAAACATCGATATGAGAGAGACACATGGATTGGTTGCCTCCCGTATGCACAGGCCCTGACCAGGGCTGGGGATCGAGCTTGCAGCCAAGAAACGTGCGCTTGGCTGGAATCGAACAAGGGACCCTTCAGTCCTTGGGCTGATGCTCTAACCACTGAGTCAAACCACGTAGAGCTTAGAAAGTCTAAGTACATTTTGACTGAATGTAAGGAAAACACAGCATGTCAAAACTGATGGTATGGCCTGGGGAGGAGGGGTGGGAGTGGGGTGGAGGGGGTCAGTGGGGAGAAAAAGGGGGGCATCTATAATACTTTCAACAATAAAGATAAATTTAAAAAGTAAACTGATGGTATGCAATGAAAACAGTGCATAGAGGAAAACTGACAGCACTAAATGCCTATATAAGAAAAAAGATATCAAACTGATTACTTCAGTTTCCACTTAATAAATGAGAAAAAAATTGCACCCAAAGTAAGCAGAAGATAAAAAATAATATAAATCCAAGAGATAATCAATGAGCCCTGGCCAGTGTGGCTCAGTGGTTGGAGCGCCCACCCACACACTGAAGGGTCACAGGTCTGATTCTCAGTCAAGGGCATGTACCTGGGTTGCAGGTTCACTCCTGGCCCAGGTTGGGACACGGGGGGAGGCAACTAGTCATTGTGTCTCTCTCAAATCAATGTCTCTCTCTCCCCGCCCAACTCCCTCCTTCACACTCTCTTTAAAAAAAAAAAAAAAAAAAATGGAGAGAATATCCTCAGGTGAGGATTAACACACAAAAAATCAGTGAAGTGGAAAACAGAAAAATAAGAGAGAAAAATTAAAGATATCAAAAGCTAGCTCTTTCGGAAAATCAATATGATTGATAAAATCTCCAGCCAGACTGATTAGGAAAAAAAGAAAGGTGACATCTCTCAAAGAAGTAATAAGGAAATACTAAGAACAAATTTATGCCAATAAATTCAACAACTTATGTGAAACAAGCAAATTCCTTAAAAGGCATAGACTGTAAGAGCTCCCTCAAAAAGAAAGAAATAACCTAAATACAACCTTACAGATATTAAAGAAATAACCTTACAGATATCAAAGAAAATAAATTTGCAGCTGAAACCTTCCAACAAAGAAAATGTGGGGCCTAGAGAGCGTCACTGATATATTTATGGAAGAAACAACACCAATTTTACGCAGACTCTTGCAGAAAACGGAAGAGTCAGTAACATGTCCCAATTCACTCTATGAGGTCAATGTTACTCTAATACTAAAACTAAAGACATTACAAGAAAAAAAAACAACCATAAGCCCATCTTCATCATGAACATAGATGCAAACTTTCTTTAAAACAGTTTAGCAAACTGAATCCGACATTATATAAAAAATGGATAGTACACTATGATGTATGTAACATCCTAGAAATGCAAAGTTGTATTCACATTAAAAAAAAAATCAATGAAATTCCATATACTAACAGAGTTTAAAAGAAAAACTATATAATCATCTCAAAAGATACAGAAGAGGCAACTGACAAAATCCAACATCCATTCCTAATAAAATCTCTCAGCAAACTAGGAATAGAGATGAACTTCCTGAATCTAATAAACGACAGCTATGAAATACCTATAGCTCCATATATTGTAAAATTAGGAGTAAGGTTAGGATGTCCACTCTACTCACTTCTCTTCAACATTATACTGGAAGATCTAATTAGTACATTAAGTCAAGGAAAAAAATAAATGGCATCTAGATTGAAGGAGACAGTAAAATGGCTTTATTTGCAGACAACACAATCATCTACGGGCAATATACTATGAAACCTACAAGAGACCTAGAAGGATCAGTAAATTGTAATGTAAGATGAATATGCAAGATTGAATGGGTTTGCATATACTAGCTAAAAACAATTAAAAACTGAATTTTTAAAAATATCTGTTATAATGGCTTTAAGAGATATGAATAGGATATTATGGATAAATTTGACAAAAGATGCATCAAACCTATCCAATGAAAATTATAAAATAGTGCTTAAATAAATTAAACAAGATCTAAATAAATGAAGAAACACATATTCTGTTCATGGATCAGAACACTCAATATCATTAAGATGCTAGTTTTCCCCAAACTAGGTTACATTCAACTCAAACCCCATCAAAATCTGAGCAGGACTTTTTGTACAAATTAATAATCTGATTGTAAAATTGATATATAATTAGTCAAAACAACTTTGATTTTTAAAAGAACAAAGCTGAAAGACACTGCCTTATTTCAACATTTATTATAAAGCCACATGAATTAAGACATTGTAGTGTTGGCATAACGATAAATAGGTCATTGAACAGAATAGAGGTCCCAGAAATAAGTTGCACAAACATATTCAACTGATATTTTACAAAGGCACAAAGGAAACTGAGTGGAGAAAAGATAGCCTTTTTAATAAACTGTATATCCCCATGTAAACAAACAAAACAAACTTCTGAGCTTTTGAGGCAGAATTTCCAGAATGGCAGAGTGAGGGTTTCCATAAATTTACTCCTCCATTAAAAAAACAAAAAGACTAGAAAATTTTCAAAATCAAAGGGTTGCAACAATCAGAACATTTATTTTAAAAAACCACACCAGCAGCAGCTGCATCTCAGGAGAATTGCAGGATTTGTGGCTTTATAATTTAAACCACTTTCATTCTCCTCTCTTTCCAGCTCTACTACAAATTGTGAAAACCAGCACAAGAGCAGACCAGGTTCGGAGCCCCTCAAGAAGTCCCGTTCCTGCCCAGCCAATGTGGCTCAGTGGTTGAGCGTCAATCCATGCAATGGTTCGATTCCAGGTCAGGACACACGCCCAGGCTATAGCCTCAATCCCCAATAATGGCCGTGCAGGAGGCAGCCAATGAATGTTGATGTTTCTCTCTCATTGATGTTTCTCTCTCTCTTTCCCTTTCCTTTCCTCTCTCTCTAAAATCAATAAAAACATATTTTTAAACAATTATTTGAAAAGAAAAAGTCCCATTCCTGAGCACTGCCACAATTTGACCTCACTGGCAACTCTGTGGAAAAGTCACACTCACAGAGTGGTGTTGTTATTGCTGTGACTCAGAGCTCCACAGGAAAAGCCCTATCTCTAGAGTGTTTGTTTAAAAAATCAATCAGTGGCAACTGTTTAACACTGCAGCTGCCTGAAGCTATGATACCAAATTGAGACAAACAAGAATCTGGACAAAAGGAAAAGGAAAATCTGGGGAACTAAATGGCCATCAGATTTGAAAAGCTCTAATATATTCTGGATAATCCAGAAGGGTGCATATGTATGAAAGACTGTGTATATGCCCAGGGAAGACTAGAGAAGGCACCAATCTCTGAAATATGGATGACCTTAAGGTCATGCACAAGCAGGAAGTGAAGACTAAGACAGAGTTGTGAACAGCCTAAGTGTTGAAGGCATACTTCAATACACACACGGTCCTTCAGCAAAAGGTAGAAGACTTACTGTGTCTAAGGCAATTTCTGACCAATCATTAGATGACTAAGCAGAGACTTAGGTTGCCATACACTACAGGAAACAAAGATGAACACGAAACTTCAGGAAGAAACAGCTACATTTTCATTCTCTTGATTGTGATGATGATTTTAGGGGTGGATATGTCAACACACCAAACTGTAAACTTCAAACGTGTCATTTATTACATGTCAATTATAACCTCAATAATGCTGCTAAAAAAACAGAATTGAAATAAAAGTGGCTAGGCACTTAGCATGGAACCTGTGCAGAACAACGACTCGTAAGTATTTAGATAATGGGGCTAGCAGTAGCAAAAGCAATAGCAGTAATAAAAAGAATAAACCTAAAGTAAGGTCTCAGCTAGATATATACTATTTATCTGGGGTTTGCCCCACCACTCCGCGAAAATTGTTCTGATCAATGTCACTTATGACTTTTAAGTTACTAAGTCAAATAAACAACTTTCAGACATCCTCTTGCTTAGCATATCTGCATTTGACATATATTATTACCCAAATGACCTCATCTCTTATCACCTCCCTCATCTGTTACTCTGCTCCAACTATAATGGTATCTTAGTTCCTGGAACATGCCAGTACTGTTGGCCTCAGGGCCTTAGCACATGCTGCCTCGAATGCTTCCCCATCCCCAACTTTGTATCTGTATGGCTCCCTCCTTCAAGTTTGACTCAAAAGTCAGCTTCTTAGTGAGCCTTATCAAATAATTTAACTTTCTGCCACCCGCCCCCAATTCTAAAGCTTTATATCTTCCTTTCCTGCTGGTTTTTCCTCTACACTTATCACCATATGACATAATAAATATTTAATTATCTAACCCTACTTTAATGCAATCTACCTGCAGGCAGATATTTCTCTCTGGATTATTCACTTCTGTATCTTCAGCACCTAGTGTTTGGCACATGGCAGGGGCTAAATGCATTTGCAGTAAGGGGGAAAGGGAAAGAGGAAAATGAATAAAGAAAGAAACAAAGAGCTGCCTCTTGATCATTTTCACCTGGATTCATAACGACTGCAGTTAATTCCTCTTCCTAACAAAAGCCAGGGTTTCCTGTATCACACCCTTCAATCAGCAACACAGTGGGAGAGACCTAGACTAGACACTGGAGACCTGGATTTAACTCCTGCTCTGAAACTAGTGACATGACCTTGGGCTCTTAACCTCACTGGACCTGTTTCCAAATATGTAAATGAGAGAATGAGAAGATGCTGAAAAGAATACTCATCAGTACAGTTCTATAACCTGGAAGCTCTGTGTCCTGGGATTCAACAGAAAAGGTAAGAAAAATGGCTCTGACAGATAAGGTCTTCATGTATTCTAAATAATAGATTCTATTAGCAGATAATAACACACAGAAATGCTTAACTTACCAGCCTCCAGAGAAGATATCAGTTGAGTTATGAAATAAAGAAGCCTGAGTAACACTTTCATATTCTCCTAGAGAAACAGGAATGAAAGAAAAACAAAAATTAAAAATGTGATTATTTCAGAGACTTTCAAGATGGCAATAGAGTACATGAATCTTGAGCTCACCTCCTCCCAAAACCAAACTGGAAATACAACTAAAATGGGGAACAATTACCCTGAATAACCAACTGAGGACTAGCTGAAGAGGAGTCTTATAATCAAGGATTTGCAGAAAAAGGCACACTGAGACTGGAAGGGTGGAGATGCAAAAGAGGCTGGCCTCACTCCCATGACAGCAGCTGAGGGCGAGAGGGATATGTCAGCTGCGGGGGCTTTCTTCTAAGAAGTGTGAGGCCTAAATCCCAGGCCAGGCTCCCCACCCCAGAGCACCAGAGCTGTGAAAAGGCATCCACATAGCCTCCAGCTATAAAAAGTGGCAGGGTTTCTGTCCACCAAGGACAGGTGGAGTCCGCTGGAGACACAGGCCCCCTTTCAAACGGCAAACTTTAAGGAGGGAGGGTGGTGTTGATTAGAGTCACCTGAGGAGAGTCTGTGGTTTGTGGCTCTGGGGAGAGTTATGGGGGGACAGCTGCCAGGAAACCTGTACTGAGTCATTCTCAGATATCACAGTAGCCATCTTTCTTGGGTGGAGCAATCCTTTCCAAGCGGCATTAGCCTGAGGGGAAGCAATTACCCCACCCTCAGGAATCCCTCTCATCCCACCCTGTGGATCTTAAGCCCCGCTGAGGAGTCAGCAGCACAGGCAGGGAGTAGAAGTCTGGGCAATCTCAAGGGGTATCAGGGACTGGGTTTGGGGCAGGGTGACACCTGCACTTTTCCCATGAACCTGACTGGTGCTTCCCTTTCATGAGAGATCTGACAGAAACACCCTCCTGGTTTCTGGCATACCCAATCTCTGGGCTCTAGAGGCCCCACACGCCTTACTACTAGAGGCTTCACCCTGCTGAGGTCAGGTCAAAATCCAGGACAGACTCAGTCATCTGGTTCAGGAAAGTCACCTTTCCTGAGGTCTGAATGGCAACTCCCCCTCACAGGAGAGCCACTAGTGCCATCCTCCCTATTCCACGAGAGGCTTTCAGTGAATAAGCCTAACAGGCAGCTGGCAGGTAGAAGAAGGTGGAGGCACATTGCAGGGTGCCTTGGTACAATTGCTGACCCACCCCGGGGCCCACTACTAGTAAAAGCTGGCCTTGGAGCAGTTTGGTCCTTCCCATGTGTAGCAAAGCCCAGAAGAGGCAGCCACAAACTGTGGATTGCTTGTAGCTTCAAACAGGTTGCCAGGCACAAGACAGCATCTGACACTGGCCAGCACCAGAGTCCTTCCCAAAGTGACCAGAGCCAATACACCCAGTGGCCAGCTTCAAAAAACACTAGGGCAGGATCCTAGAAGTTTCACAAACAGCATATCCAAAGGGAAATCACAGCAGGCCCTAAATTCTCCTGAGATGAATTCCACTTTTTTATTTAAAATTTTTCTTTTTTCCTTTCTGTTTCTTCATTTTTTTTCCTTTTTTAATTTTTTTTCTTTTCTTATCCTTTTAATTCTTTCTTCTTTTCTTCTTCTTAAATATATATATATATATGGTTAGCACCTGCGCAGCAGCTCACACACCTAGGTCAGGGTTGAGTCTCATGGTCAGCCAGCCTGAGGGTCAATCCCATGCATGAACAGTCCAACAGCAATCAAGATTCAATAGCAGCAGGGCCCACATAACCCACACAACATTCTTAGCGCATCCAGCTCAGGATATCAAGGAGAATGCACCACTGGGTTCCACAGGACACCTAATACATAAGGTTAAACTACAAAGACTGAGAGTCACAGCAGATCTGTCTAATGCATAGAAACTAACACAAAGAGGCAGCTAAAATGGGGAGACAAAGAAACAGGTCCCAAATAAAAGAACAGAAGGAATCTCCAGAAAAAGAGCTAAATGACATGGAGGCAAGCAGTCTATCAGATATAGCGTTCCAAGTAATGGTTATAAGGATGCTCAAGAAACTTAGTGAGAACCACAACAGCATGAAAAAGGACATAGAGACCATGAAAAGAACCAGTCAGAAATGAAGAATACCATATCTGACAACAAGAATACACTGGAAGGAATAAAGAGTAGGGTGTATGAAGCAGAGGATCGAATCAGTGATTTGGAAGACAAGGTAGAAAAAAACACACCCAATCACAGCAGCTAAAAAGGAAAAAAAAAAATTTAAATTAGGACAGTTTAAGGGAACTTTGGGACAACATGAAGCATAACATTTGCATCACGGGGGAAATCAGAAGGAGAAGAGAGGGAGCAAGGGATTGAGAACCTATTTGAAGAAATAGTGACCAAAATGACCCTAACCTGCTGAAAGAAAATGACACACAAGTCCAGGAAGTGCAGAGAGTTCCAAACAAGATGAACCCAAAGAGACCCACATAATTAATTAAAATGGCAAAGGTTAAATACAAAGAGAGAATTTTAAAAGCAGCAAGACAAAAGCAGTCAGTTACCTACAAGGGAGCACCCATATGACTTCCAGCTGATTTGTGAACAGAAACATTTCAAGCCAGAAAGATTTGGCATGAAATATTCAAAGTGATGAAAAACAAGGACCTGAAACCAAGGCTGCTTTACCCACCAAAGCTATTATTTAAAATTGAAGGAGAAATAAAGAGATTTCCAGACAACCAAAAGCTAAAGGAGTTTGTTACCACCAAAACAGTATTACAAGAAACGTTAAAGGACTTGCTTTAAGAAGTAGAAGAAAACAAAACAAAACAAAACAAAGGAATGTAATTAAAAAATAAAACAGCAATAAATACATACCTATCAATAATTACTTTAAATGTAACTGGCTTAAATACTCTAAACAAACAGCATAACATAGTTGAATGGATAAGTAAACAAGGCCCATGTATATGCTGTCTTCAAGAGACCCACCTCAGAATGAAAGACACACTCAGACTAAAAATAAAGGGATGGAAAAAGATATTTCATACAAATGGAAAGGAAAAAAAGTTGGTGTAGCGATACTTATATCTGACAAATAGATTTTAAACCAAGGCTACAGTAAGAGACAAAGAAAGACACTACATAATGATAAAGGGAACAATCCCACAAGAGGATATAACCCTTGTAAATATTTATGCATCCAACCTAGGAGCACCTAAATATGTAAAGCAAATCTTGATGGACATAAAGGGAGAGATTGACAGTAATACAGTTATAGCAGAGGATTTTAACACCCCATTGACATCAATGGATAGGTCTTCCAAACAGAAAATCAACAAGGAAACAGTGGCCTTGAATGACACACTAGATCAAATGGATTTAATTGATACCCTCGGAGCATTCCACCCAAAAGTAGCAGAATATACATTTTCAAGTACACATGGAATATTTTCTAGGATAAACCACATGTTAGGGCATAGAACAAGTCTCAACAAATTTAAGAAGACTGAAATCACAGCAAGCATTTTCTCCAAACATAATGCTATAAAACTTGAAATCAATCCCAAGAAGAAACCGCAAAACACACAAAGACATGGAGGCTAAATAATATGTTACTAAACAATGAATGGGTTAACAATGAGATTGAGAAAGAAATCAAAAGTTACCTGGAAACAAATGAAAATGAGAACACAACAACCTCAAATCTGTGGGACACAGTGAAAGCAGTCCTAAGAGGGAAATTCATAGCATTACAGGCCTACCTCAGGAGACATGAAAAAACTCAAATAAACAATCTAACATTACACTCAAAGCCCAAGTAAGTATAAGAAAGGAAATAATAAATATTAGAGCAGAAAGGGGGTTATCTGTAAGAATGTCAACAATAAAAATAAAGAAAAAAATGTCATATTCCAGAAAATCTCTAAAACTACAGACCTGTCCCTATCTTCATCCCCAAGTCACACTGATTAGCTAGTCTCTCTACATCATTAATATGACCATGCTTCTGGATAGGAAATGAGGGTGGGGGAAGGGAAAGGGGAATAAAGATTTTTAACAGAACTGGGGACAAACTCAAATAGCTTAAGATTAGTAAAACTTGCATCACCTGTCCCAATATTCATTTCTAGTCTTGAATACCATTTAAATTTCCCAAACATCTTATCTACATTGCATCCAAAGCAGTCAATTTACTAGACTCTAAACCAGCTTATGGCTACTTACGTGGATTTGGTCCCTACCTGAAATGTACCCCACTAACAAGATCCACTCTCAAAAGCCCCTCCACATGTCCAGGTCCAGCTCAAAGTTCAAACCTTCATCTTATAAGGTAAGACACTGAATTATTTGTATAAAATTATATAGCTGCATGAAAATGCACCAAAAAGACTAAAAAATATATCAACATGTTAAAATTGATTTGGTTCTTGTGGTTGGGTAGTTTTTCCCTTCTTTGGAGATTTCATCTAAAATTTCTCTAATGAGCATTCATTAATTGTATCACGAAGTAAAAAACAAAAGCAAAGCCTCCGCAGTTCCCCTTCCCCCGTGTGGCTTAGGTGGCCACACCAGCACAGCGTCAGCTACAACAGGCACAGGTCAGCCACGCGCTTATGTATTAAACTGCGGTCCTGGTAACTTACTTTACTTACATGACGCTTTGTCCACATACATGGCAGGGGTGTTAACAGATTAGGCCCTTGTTTCATGCTGGAGGAGATCATACCATTGCCTTATCTACAAAAATGTCACTAAAATAACAACAATCGCATGTGAAAAAGAAAAAACTCAATGTCGCCTACCTTTCTAAACTTCTTAAGCCCAAATGAAGTTAACGCTCAGCATCCCCTCTTCCTTTCTCAGCGTCCCTGTACATGCCCTGAATGGGGACCTGCATGTGCGGTAAGTTCCAGTCTTGGACCCCCATGGAACTTTTGCACACCTCTGTTCGAGGGCCCAAGTACCTTACTCAATAGGCCCCAACCCAAACTGTCCAGCACACTTGCTGCCCACCCCAAGACAAGCCCGGCACTGCCCTGCACCAGGAGGGCAGAAAGCCCCGCACCGCAGCCCGCAGCCCTGAGCTCGGCACTGGGCGCCCTCGGTCGGGGCGCGCGGGCCGAAGGGGAACAGCGAGCAGACGAGCTCACCCTCCACCCACCCCAGCGGCAACGCCCGGAGCAGACACGCGATGGGGGTCGGGGTTGCGTGACCAGAGACAGTAAGGACAGTGGAAAGGGGACGCGCGAGGCTCCCGAGACGAAACAAACCCTGCTGTTCCCCAAAAGGACAGAAATTCCAAGGGTGAAGCCAAAGCTGCCAGCCTTCGTCCTGCCGGGTGCTGGGAGGCTGGCCAGGTCCCAAGTGCCTCCACATCTGTGTTCTATGTATGCCAGGCAGAGTGCCAGTGCCAAAGACAAAATTTTTTTAATTATGTAAAAAAAATTACATAAACAAAGTAAAATGCCGAAGGAGAGCCTTCTTCTCAGCCACACGCTGCGCCCCACAAGCCCACTGACAGCACCCAGCCTCCGTGTCTCGGCTCCCCCATTTGACAAAACAGGGACTGAGACAGCGGTTCTCTGACGGTTGTTGTGAGGACTGAGTTGTTCTCACTTAAGGGCCAAGAAAAGCTTCTGGCAAATGGTCAAACTCCAAAGTTACCATAACAAATCACCCCGTGCTCTGATGACAAATACAGGCTTTGATAAAATGCCCTCAGACGTTCACTCACTTCTTTTTTCATTCACTGCCAAGTTCAGCAATTATCTATTGAAAATCTACCGCATGCCTGCATCTACGCTTGGCTCTGGGGAAAAAATAGAAATGATGACCCAGGGCCTGTCTCAAGAAGCTCATCAGCTGGTGGGGAGTATGGGGGAGTGTCCATGGGAGCAGAAACGCCCAGGGCCTGAGGGAGACGGGCCCTGACTCAGCCTGGAGGAGGGCTCCCAAGAGGTGTTGGGGTGCTAGGGAAGGCACAGACGAGACTGTTTGGAGCATAAATCGAAGGTGGTGCCACCAGACAAAGCTGGAGAGGCTGAAAGTGGCCGGATAGATAGGGAGGGTCTTCTGAGGCACTGGAGCTACACTGCTCAGGTGGCCAAAAAAAATCACTGAAAGATTTGAAGCAGCGGGGCGGGGTACAAGGAGAGGAGATGCAGGGTGAGCCAGCCAGCAGTGAGAGCAACAGAGAAAGGGGCCACATCTGAGGGTTCTGGGGCTCACCAGCCCTGATCCGCTCAGCTGGGACCAGCATAGGGCAGGCCCAGGGAAGGAGGGAAGGTTCTGGCATCCGGACAGCCCGAGGAGCCGCCCAGAGGGTGTCCCTCCTGGCAGCACTGGGCCTCAGTCTCCTGGGACTAGGTGAGCAGTGCTGCCTCCACCTGAAAGCCAGGCTTTGAGTGTGAGGTGAGGGTGAAGTGGGCCGGACAGCAGGCCTTGGGACATGCTGGGGCTGGAGAGAGCGGACACTGGCTGGGGAGCCGTGAGCATGCTGGGTGCAGCTGCAGCTCTGGGGAGAGGAGCCCTGGGGAACGAGTGAGCAGTGGCTCTCAATGGGGTTGCAGACACCTTCAGAAACCTGATAAAACCATGGAGTTATCCCAAAGAAAAATGTAACGAAAAAATAAAATATTTTTTGTGTACCATGGGAGGTTTTCCGGGACCACCTGAGCTGAGGGTGCAGGACTTCAGCGGATGGTGGGGCCCTGGGGCAAGCCAACCTGCTACCTCCTTTTCTGGTAGGAAGGCCTCTTGTAGGAAGTGGTCCTGCTGCTCAGGAGAGAGTCACCATCTTTGGGGGCACGTCTGCCTGGGGAAAGAAGAGCACATGTGGCATAAGTTTGAATGAAGAACCTTAAAGTCACCGATTGCCACACACATCTCAACAGGCATCAAAAAAAACAAAGCTTACAAAATGAGTCATTTGTTTAAGGAGTGTACATCCCACAGTTTCAAAAAACAAAGTCACAGGTGAGGAATACAAAAAGACTGCACCAGATCTTTTTGATTAAAGGCACAGACCTGGTACTTTTCTGGACACAGAGATGCAGAAACAAATCAAATACCTCTGGGGACCCTGCAGCCTGATGCACCTGGAGAACAGAGCTCAGAGGAACACACGCGGTGCCGGTGCGAAGCAAAGCCACAGGCTGTCTGAGCACAGCCCTCGGCGCCCGCCTTTCCCTACGCCAAGCGGGCGGTGCCGCACCGCAAGGAACACAGCCTGAAGCACCTTCGGCGAGGGCAAGCTGTGCCTGCCCCGCGCGTCCCGCAGGCTGCTTCGGCAGTTCACTGCTGGTATCCAGGGCCCCCTAATTTTTGAGGTCTGGATCACTTCCTGAAGCCTTCGAAAGCTTGCAAGGCCTAAGCCTTGAACTCCTGTCCACAGAACTGCCCGCCCAACGTTCTGCTTCCACAAAGTGAGCCAACTACTCCCTACTATTCACTCAGACTTATAAGAAGGGACGCAGCCTAACATTACCGTTCCAGAGGACAGTGGCTCATCAGCATGACTCACGACACACCACGAAATCGGAGAGGACACCGAGTCCTCGCACTCCACCCAGTGTCCCCCGACCTCCCACAGTGTGTCCCAGAAAGGCCTGCTGCTGACAGGAGTCACTGGGAGAACGTCAGAGAAATCAACAGGTGGGGGGGGAAGGATGGGCAGGAGGAACGAATTTATCTGGAAGGCCACCTTTACAGAGGAGCTGACACCCTGCGTCCCCTAAACACTTCACTTTCCCTCTTCTTCTTTGCAAGAAATTTTATATTCGCTTCCCCCACTTCCCCTCCACTGCTCAGCAGCACTGCCAGCGGCCTCCTGCGCCCCGGCCGCTGAGACACCCCCCCAGGCCACCACGAGCTCAGCCCTCACGCAAAGGGCCGTCTCCATCTCACTGGGCGGCTGGGCAGCACCTGCCTCCCCCCCCACTGACTTCCGGGGCTGAGGGCCACCCCGCTCCTCTGCCTTCTCCCGCTGGCCGCTGCTTCTGGGCTCTTCGCTTGCCCGTCTGCACTTGCAGTGCCATTCTGCCTCGCCGCGTTTCCCGGGACTGTCGTTCACTTCTACGCATGCTAGGGGCCAGCTCCTTCTGCGACCCTGCCCAGCTCTGAGCAGATTCGGATCAGAAGCCTGTCCCAGGGGCTTCCTCCCCAGCCAGGCGTGCCAAGTCACATAGGTCTCCCCCTGGCATCAGCGGGTGGCTCCCTGGTTGCTGGCCTTCCCCAGCTGGGCCAGGGGAGAAAAGTCCCTCTCCTTTCCCACACCCGTGAGGGGAGCTCCCTCAGACACATCTCGCATGGGAGGGGGACAGTAAGGGGGAGGGAGGGGGGAGGGATCCCCCCACCATTTTGGCATTAGGCTACGTAGGGGCAAAACTCTGGCCCAGAGTCAAGGCGCAAAGGATGCAGTATGGGTGCTGAGTGTAAGCCAGAGCGCAGGGTGGGAGTGTAAGCCAGAGCGCAGGGTGGGAGTGTAAGCCAGAGCGCAGGGTGCGGAGTGTAAGTCAGAGCGCAGGGTGCGGAGTGTAAGTCAGAGCGCAGGGTGCGGAGTGTAAGTCAGAGCGCAGGGTGCGGAGTGTAAGTCAGAGCGCAGGGTGCGGAGTGTAAGTCAGAGCGCAGGGTGCGGAGTGTAAGTCAGAGCGCAGGGTGCGGAGTGTAAGTCAGAGCGCAGGGTGCGGAGTGTAAGTCAGAGCGCAGGGTGCGGAGTGTAAGTCAGAGCGCAGGGTGCGGAGTGTAAGTCAGAGCGCAGGGTGCGGAGTGTAAGTCAGAGCGCAGGGTGCGGAGTGTAAGTCAGAGCGCAGGGTGCGGAGTGTAAGTCAGAGCGCAGGGTGCGGAGTGTAAGTCAGAGCGCAGGGTGCGGAGTGTAAGTCAGAGCGCAGGGTGCGGAGTGTAAGTCAGAGCGCAGGGTGCGGAGTGTAAGTCAGAGCGCAGGGTGCGGAGTGTAAGTCAGAGCGCAGGGTGCGGAGTGTAAGTCAGAGCGCAGGGTGCGGAGTGTAAGTCAGAGCGCAGGGTGCGGAGTGTAAGTCAGAGCGCAGGGTGCGGAGTGTAAGTCAGAGCGCAGGGTGCGGAGTGTAAGTCAGAGCGCAGGGTGCGGAGTGTAAGTCAGAGCGCAGGGTGCGGAGTGTAAGTCAGAGCGCAGGGTGCGGAGTGTAAGTCAGAGCGCAGGGTGCGGAGTGTAAGTCAGAGCGCAGGGTGCGGAGTGTAAGTCAGAGCGCAGGGTGCGGAGTGTAAGTCAGAGCGCAGGGTGCGGAGTGTAAGTCAGAGCGCAGGGTGCGGAGTGTAAGTCAGAGCGCAGGGTGCGGAGTGTAAGTCAGAGCGCAGGGTGCGGAGTGTAAGTCAGAGCGCAGGGTGCGGAGTGTAAGTCAGAGCGCAGGGTTCGGAGTGTAAGTCAGAGCGCAGGGTGGGAGTGTAAGTCAGAGCGCAGGGTGGGAGTGTAAGTCAGAGCGCAGGGTGCTGAGTGTAAGTCAGAGCGCAGGGTGGGAGTGTAAGTCAGAGCGCAGGGTGCGGAGTGTAATTCATGGAGCAGGGTGCGGAGTGTAAGCCAGAGAGCAGAAACGCAGGGGCGCCCTACCTGGCGTCTGGAGGCGGTCAGGAGCCACACTGGAGAAGGGAGAAAACTAAGGAGTCAGGGGAGGGCTCAGGGCCCCAGGCTGGGAGGCTGAGGGGAGCACCGGAGGCCTAGAGAGGGAAGCTACCGATGCCAGAAGGAACGCGGGGGAGCAAAACCTCCCTTCTTCGGAGGCAACTTTGCAAAGTCCACCGTGACTTTTAAAATTGGTTTATAGTAAAATTCAAAATATAATTTTAGAAAATACGGACGATAATAAAAAGTCACAGATTCATTTCACTGTGTGATTTTTACAGATGAATCTTCCACACAAAATAAAATGATTAAAGGGGAGAAGATTAACTCCCCAGTAAATTAACCAGCCTAACACACTGCTCCCTCTTCCTACTTGAGATGCAATGATACCTACGTTACCCATGAGTTTCCCGATGCCCTAACACCCCCTCTAGAGCAGCTTCTGCTGACATCAGCGGCCAGGTGGTGGCCGAGGTACGACACCCAGCTCAGGTAGTGATTCCACCTCCACCTGCCCGGTCTGCTCCCTGCAGGAGAGCAGCTGTGAGCACAGGAGCCCGCTTTCTGGGGCAATCACATGGAAAGCGCCGTGTGGACTGTCCAGGTATGGCTCCCAGTACTTCTTGGTGATTATGACATTTCAGAAACGTCGGTGTGGAACAAATGACCATGTGGTCCATGGAACTTACATATGAAGCTACTTGTTTATTAAAGATGAAAATGCACATTTGAGACATGGAGCAATTCCTACTAGACCCAGAATGATAAATTTCAATGGGAACTAAATTACAAAAGCAGAGATTAGGTAAAAGAATTAACAATGAACATACTGGCCCCAAACAGAAGCCCCTCCTGTCACTCTGCACACCCAGTGCATGACATGAAAAGTGACAGCTGGGGAGCAGAGGGGCACAAGGACCCAAGCAGCCTCCTCAAGACTCAGGGCCCCAGTGCAGGGGAGGGCGCATTTGTTCCCACTATGAACACACGGCACCTATAACATCTTCTTGATCCTGAGGGATTCCCCACATTGGGAATCTTGCCTTCCAAGACAGAAGCCAGGCACGCGACCGAGGTGGCATCCATGGGACACCCTCAACACCATGAGGATGCAGGAGCAGCGTAGCTGTACTTGTGGGGACAGTGGCAGCTGAGGCCCCTGGCGCTGGTGGCACTGTCCCAGTGCGTCTGACAGAGCAGTGTCTCACGCTGTTTCTATCTACAGCAACCTCCAAGCCTAACTCCACAGCCCACTTCCAGCTCCATCCCATATTGTGAGGGGCACTTAGCATGCAGAGGTAGACATCCCAACCCTCCTGTCCACATCCATCACCCCAGCGAGGCCCTGGCCACTGGGCATATCAGAGGCTCACAGACCGTGGATCCACGGAGACGACCAGGAAGGAGCCCGCAGAGGCCCTGCACTCAGAGTCCAGGCTGTTCGGGCAGGGAATTCCAGCTCTCCCACTGGGGACGTGGATCATGGTCAAGAGGGAGGTGCTGCTGGGCACAGGTTCCAAGTGGGCACATCCTCTTGCCCTCCAGACTCCCGGCCACGCCAAGGCACGTGGCTGGCTGAGAAGCAGGGCAGAGCCCTCAGGGCCTGGCTGGGGCCTCTCTTGCCTGGGTCTAGGGGAAGTTTTGCAGCAGCCAAGCCTCTGCAGAAACCCGAGAGGAGGGATAAGACAGCAGCAGGTGACTCCTTCCAGAGACCAGAAGCAGCAGAGCCCACCTTCTGCAACGGAAAGGAAACCCTAGTGGCACTTTCCACATTCCACCCACCAGCTCACTCTGCACAATGAGTGCCCCGAAGTAAACAGCGCAATTCAAGTTCTCGCCCCAACACTGATAACACAAGTACGCGTGTGTGCTTGACATGGGTGCAGATGTATTCAGAGAACGAGGCTCCAGCTAACTGACTATCACTGAGAAGTGACTGAGGGTGAGCCCTGGACAAAGCGAGGACAAAAGCAGGCTCTTCAGCTAACATGTAATAACCCCCACGTCCTCCTGAGAACCAGTGGAAACACGTATGGAGAGCAGGTCACGGTATTAAAACAAAACCCAAAATGATGGTCTTCACCTTTTAACACAATAGTGTTAAGACCAAAACTGTCAGTTTTAAAGACAAGGTGTAAAAACACTTCCTTACAAAGCCAAAGGACCACACGATTACAGAAAACACGAGAATTCTGTACTTACCAACAAGAGAAATTATAGGTAGCCAGGGAACTCAGAGTCTCTCTCTCTCTTCCTGGGGTACTGATCTTACCCACAGACTTTCTGGGGGGAGATATCATTTTTATATTAGAAAAAGTATGCCAATATTATGAAGAGGAACGAAAAATGTCCAAGAGATGAAACATGAGGCACCAAAGAAAC